AAAATGTAATGCTGATTTATGCAGACATTTGCATCACATTTGGTTTCTTGTTCATACTGTAAATCTCATAGTGAAACAGATTCTCTTCTTCAAAACACAGAAATCTTCAGTCCCTTAAGTACCCACCAGTTTAAGATGCCAGTTTAAAATATATATTTGCTAGTTTTGTTCTCCCTGTTATACTGTAGCTACAGGAGATTTGTTGAGGTTTAATGGAAATGATTGAAACTTGATACCATTTTAATCTAAAATTAACAAGGGGATTTGAAAGCGTAGTTGTCTAAGGCAAAAATGCATTTCAGCACACTGAAACTAGAATGAAATTAGAAAACCGGGTTTTTGTTCAAAACTATCAGTTTCGAATGATATCCAATGACTGAATAGCTGTGGTTATCAATATCTGTCAACAATAGGGAATTTTCTCTGCCGAGATATCATTTCATTCACTGTTGATCAGTCTGCCCTGCTTAAAGGAAATAATGAGCAACTATTGTCCACATTAGAAGACTCAAGTGTGAAGAACCTTTATAGGAATTAAGGTTGTATTTTTCTGCCAGGTGCTGCTAATTAAATTCACTACATTAAACAGATCGTCAGCAATCATTAGCACTGCTATAAACACAGATGTTTTGGTAGTTTGTTCATCTGGATCATTCAGTGTGTGTTAACATATACTTCCCAGCAATTGAACAGTTATTCGTCAACTCAGCTAAACAATACCTATGAAAAAAAGAGCTCACTATAGTACATCCAAATAAACTATTGCTGTGAATAAGATTTAAAACTGGAGTCAAGTTAAAAACACTGCTGGCTGTCATTCTGCCTGCTGACATATTTCATCTTTATTCATCATTCTTTCTCTACCCTTGGTTAAGGGTAGAATTGCCATTCTTTTATGACTTCTTAAAAGACTCGACATTTATCACTTCTTAATTACAGCAATGAGAAACTGAATGCCTATTAATAATAAATATTTAAAGAAAAACTTGCTTAGTTAATGTCTTATTACTTTGAATCTGATTTTGTTTCATGTTTATAATGTAAACCTCACAGTAAAACAGATTCTCTTTTTCAAAACAGAGAAATGTAGAGTCCCTGAAACACCAGCAGCTCTAACAATCACCACAGATGTAACAGACGATCAAATGAAAAAAGGACAACATCTAACATTTGCTTGTAAAAACAGTAATCACATCATCAAAGGGAATGCAACGCTTGAATGTTTGGAAAATGGACAGTGGAGCAATCCTCTTCCCATATGTAGAGGTACATCACTTGTCCTCTTGTGATCTTACTGTTTATCAGTACAAAGGATGGAAAAAGATTGCTATTGCTGTTTTTGGTATTTCTTGGGGTGTCGTGTGAATGAGTGTAAGTTACACACACTTTAAACCAGAAATTAATAGTTTAATAGTTTGTTTTGATGCAAAAATACATTTCAGGTTATCAGTAAAATGTCCTCTGCCTGATCTGCTCTTGTGCTAATTAGTTTGTGTGAACATTGTTTCTGGTTAATTCTTTGTCACAGATGGCCACACAGTGTTAAGGTAAAGGAGAGTGATGCACAAGGTGTATGACAAATATTTCACTTCAAATGAAAAATGATGCATGACAGCAGGTCAGAGTGAAAATGTGATTATTGTGACAAAATAGTATCTAATGTTGGTTTTTCGTCTGTTATTGCCCACAATTTTTAGCTGCCAAGCAATGTAGGACGCCACCACGTCTTTCAGATGGACGGACCAAAACATGGACTAGAAACACGTACAGACACAATGAAAAGGTTGAATATGTGTGTGACAGAGACTACGGCATGGAGGGTGGGCCGTTCAAAACCTGTGTCGATGGTGATTGGGTTGGAGAGATGAGATGCCGCAGTGAGTTACATTTCCCTTTTGTTGCACACAAAGTTTTTAAATATGTTCTAAGTAAACAAACAGCCAGTGGAGGGACGCTGGAACCAGTTTGAGAAGTTTAGTAAATCTGAGAAGTTGGTTAAGTGTGACGTTGAAAAGTTGTTTTCACTAACACAGACAGTAGCTCAAAACTGTTTGAAATGTGGTGCATTTAAGATTATACCTGAACACACCACAATGTAGACTTCAGGGTTAGTTGCAGTTA